GTCGGATGCGAGCGGATCAGAGGTGGGGAGTTGCTGTTGAAACGATTTGTACCACTCGTCCTTCAAACTCTCAAGCCTTCCGGCTATTTTATGCATTGTCTCATTAGACGATGCGGCTTTGATCCGCTTTAAAAGCTCGTTAATCAATCGAACAATAACCAAAAAAAATTGACCAAGACTGTAATATGAAAAAGTTGAAAATGAATATCCACAAACAACTTAGTGTAAAACAATAACATTGCGGATAGCGGACTTGAAAACAAAAAAAAAATTATACGTACGATGTGGGGATGAACGCATTTGGGTCATCAATAAGTAATCTATTTTGAAGCTCGCTTCGGTCAATCACGTCCCCTCGTGTCACCAGTTCTTGAAGCATAGACATCACGCTGTCGTCCATGAAAGAGTCCTGCAATCAAGTAAAATCAGAAATAAATCTGGTTCTCCTGTTTGTATTAAAGATCATTCATAGAAGTATACAATACTGTACCAAATTGCTATAGATGATAGAATAAATTGCGTTGATATCTTTCTCACGGGTACATTCAATAATCCCTTGACGAGTCAAAAGTGCCAAGAAAGGTAAGATTACGCGTTGAAAAGATGCGACTTGATACTGTGACCCTGCGTCTACCGACACCGGTGACATCACGATTTCTCTGATTTTTTTCATTCCGTCCGAAGAACCCAATTCTTCCACAAGTGTATCTAATTCATAACCCACTTTCTTTGCATCAACGATACATGAAGTTATGAATCGTCTCATTTGGTGTTGATTCACAAATTCCTTCTTGATCCATCTCTTCCATGCATTTACGTATTCTCCTCCATGAGGAACGGAGACAATCGCATCGCTTCCGCCATACGATAGCTCTGATGAGCTAAAACTCTCAGATATCGCCCGACGTTGTTCACTTTCTATTTCCTCTGGGCGTGGGGGAGGAAGCGACTGATTTGGCCTTTGCGGATTTCCCCTACCACGGCCATTCCCTCTACCACCACGATTATTTCTTGACCGATTATTATATCTATTGCTCATACTTCAAAGATACAAAATTAAATTTCTTTTGCGTATTCTTTTTTTCCAGCGTCAGGTTTTAAAGGTGGCAAAAATGATGATGATGATCTATATATATACCTTAGTATCATTCGGAAAAACTTGGGTGTTAGGCTATTGTGCCTAAAATTGGAATAGTCATCGTCGTTATTGTATCCACAAATGGACTTGTAATAGGTTATTTTTTTAATTAACGGAATGTAAATTCCGATTATAGTTTAAAAAATGGGTCGAAAAAATGTTTTTCTTTTTTAAATGCCGGCTATCCGTTGCAATTTATTTTATTAATAAAAAGATTACAACCAGGATTCATTAGGTAATCACAACACATGAAAAATTTCACTTGATTAACAAGGGATAAAATCCTTTATTATTAATTATATTTATTTTAAATATTTAAAAATACATTATATTAAAATT